GATTTTAAGTTTAGAATTAGACTTTTATTAATAAGGAAAATTGTGCTGATCAATCTAAAACCTATTTAAGATTAAAGATCAACGAATTCTAAATATTAATAAAATACTTTCTTCAGTTCTAAACAAAGTTGTACCTATAATCTTGATTGCTATTTTTTTAAGATTTAAATCGTTTAAACGATAACATCAACTATCATATATACTTTTAAATAAATTATTTGAGTAGTGTAATCAGATATTGTATAATATTAAATATGGCGGAAATTTATTGCTTTTATTAAATTATTTTTCATATCTTTTTCCATAAAAATCATTTAATAAAAATTTTAACATTCTTTTTTTCCCTAAATATATATAAATATATCATATATTAAAAAAAAGAGTAATTGCTTTGTTCATTTGCAGATAACTAGGATATAGTAACTTGAAATTTGGTTTGATGTCTTACTATTCTAAACTCATTATTTTTTATGTTAAGAGTATAAAAACTTGAATAGTATTAAAATACCATTAAGTATTCAAATAATTAATTGTATCATTAATTGAAATGAAAATCATTTTTAGAAAATATCCCTATTTATATGATTAAAAACTAAGCATAACAATTTTCACATTATTTGCTCCCCTAATTCAAAAAGAAAACTGAAATAATATACTTTATATAATTAAGAAAAACTATTGAATCAACTTTACAAATTTTTATTTAAACCTGGCAATGCTTGTATCTAAACTAAATGTTAACATTTTATAACTAATGTTAAAAAGTATATCTCGAAAAATGAGGAATATTAATCACTTAATGATTAGCAAGACTAAAAAATAGAATTTTAGTGACGACATTCTTGATTGATTAAATAATACATTGTTACAAAAGATTAAAGATTATTATTTAAGTGATTAAATGACTAGAGATTATTAAACAAAATTAGACACTCAAAAAAGTACTAAAAGGAAGAAATAATTGTAGATAATGCTTACAAATTATTCAATTTTAAATGCATTTATTTTTATTAATTTAGCTATTTCCCATTGTTGAAAATAAACCCTAATGAACATTCTATCAACCGAAAATTCTTGCGACAATAAATATTTCATAATTATTCAACAATTTAAAGTTATCTATTCTTTATTATTTAATTTCCAGAACAGAAAATATAAAAGTAAGGATTTTTCAGAATATAATTTTTTTATTTTACTAATTTCTTATTAAAAGAGGAAAAAAATATTTAATGTAATGATCGAAATTTCTTAACAAATATATAAAAATGATATGTGTCATAATTCAATTACCTTTAATTTTTGTTTTTTTAACTCGGTTTATAGAATTCTTTAAATAAAATGAGTTATAAATATATTATATAATAGCCAAAATCAAATAGTAGTAAATAAGTTCTAATAGATCTGATTCATAATAATCATGTTCATATAAATTATTAATTAACTACTAAAACTGAAATTATTTTTTTTAATATTTTAAATTCTATTTATTAAAACATACTCTTAAAGTAGAAATAGGTTGTGATAAATAGTCCAATAATATTTAAAATTTAGTTGGATTTTGATAAAATATCATTAAATCTAATTTTCTACGTTGTAAAATTTAATCTTAAATGTATGGGCTATCCAATTATCAATAAAAATGATTTCTTTCTTTATTAATTTCTTATTACAATCACTCAAAACACAATCCGTCTTTTTTATTTTTGTATTCTTTATACATATCTAAGATATTTATTCACTCCAGTTGATTTCATGCATAAAAATAAAAATAATGAAATGAAAAAGGTAAAAAAAAATGTATAATTCTAGTACAAATTTTAGTTTAAATGTTAAAAATCGAAAATGTTACTCTCTTTTTAATGCTGAATTTTAGGAACAAAGAAAATAAGAATAAGAGATTACTTCTCTATAAAGAAAGCATAAACCAATATTTTGGATAATTGTTGTGATTTTTTTTTGGAGTTCCATTCTATATGTGCAATTTATCTATTGTTCAAATCTTTATAATAATTAAGATCTTTATTGTCTGTTTTGGTTTGGAGTTCTGTTACCTTTTTTCAGTTCCAATTTATAGAAAATTGTGTTTGCCAGTTAAATTTTACTGTTTTTGATAAAAATTGGTTAATTCAAATTTTACTTTTTAATTAAAAAAAGATTTGTAAAATCAAATCTATTTTTTTTTATAACTAATTAATATAATTAAAATGTTTTGCATTTTGAATGACATATATATATATAAAATTAATATACATTAATTAATAACATTAAAAGAAAAAATTCTCAAAATACTATGTCGTGTTAATTACAGATAATATTCAGGTAGGTAAAAATTAAAATTTCTATTTTTTCTCATTTCTTGATTGAGACATTTGAAAATATTGTAAAAATAAAATGCTAAATGTGAATACATGAACTAATTTCCAATAGTTTATGGTAATTATGATCTTACAGACGATCTACTTGAGTACAGAAAAAGATACAAAAAGTAGACTATTAACATCTGAAGATAATAAAAGAATTAAAGTATATAAAGAATCAAATTAAAAATATGAATTTTCAAAATATTTGTAAAACTAACAATAATTAAAATGCTTATCATATCATCAGTATGAAATTTTATAAAGGAAATTTTTTTAATAGAAATCATAGGCTAATATTTACTATCTTAATTATGCTAGTAAGTAGTATCTTGAATTACAAAAAAACCTATTATTATTTGTTTACTTTATGAAAAAAAATAATAATGATTATAAAAAAAAATCATTAATTTTGGTTTTAGATGGTTTGAGTAGATATATCGAATTTTCTTTAATTATATCCCTAGATTCTTTAGGATTTGTAAAAAGATGAAATTTTATGAAAAATTTTTTAATTAATTTTATAGATGCTATAATTTTCAGAAAAAATGTTAAACTGACCTAGAAGTGGAAAAAATTTTAGAAACATTTAAATATTGTTCCAATCAAAATAAAAAATCAAAATTTTTTTGATATTACTGTTCCCATACATAATACTTTGATATAACAATTTAAGGCATGAGATCATTCATTTTAATTAAGATTGATACTTCATAACTGAAAATAAGTTATAGAATAAATAGGTATCTTGAGAAGAGACAATAAAATTAATATTTATAATTTTAATTAAATCTAATAACCTAACATAATAAAATTATACATTGAGTCTTATATAGATGACTTAATAGTCACTTTTATAAAACATTCAAGATAAATGATTTGAGAAAAATATTGTAAAATATCAATCGTGATGAGAGAATTATAGAACCTGAGAACTAATAAACCCAAATTACTTGCAAGCAATTATAAATAGTATCTATAATATTTGATCAATAGAATTCAAGAGTATTCAAGAAATTTAAATTATTGAATATAGATCAAAGCAATAAAAAGATGAAATTTAATGAGCTAAAGAGAATAGTCCAATAAATTTTTAAAGCAATATATTTGAGATTTCAATCAAAGATGCAGAAGAAAATATACTCTATTTTTAATTAAAGAAATAATAGAAAAAAAACATCTGGGGTATACCAAACTCTCAATTCTTAACTAATCCACCAAAGAGGAGTGATATTTAATAATTAATAATGAGCAGAATTTCACTTTATTAAACTTTAATTACACACATACTTCATCATTAATCTAAATCCTGATTTAGGTTGAGAAATTTTCGAATTAAATTTAATAATAGCTTTAATTTGAATTTCAAGTCAAAAACAAAGCAATGAGACTAATAAGAAATTTACAGAACAAGAAAATATTCCTAATAATTATATAAAATAGCTCCAATTTATAGATTTGTGTGGATATACAATCAAATACAAATTTTTTTAGCAGAAACAGAGAATTAAATATTCTTAATTATATCAAGATAAAACTGAGAAATTTCATTAAAATATTTTATTTATATATATTTACATAATCTAATTGTCACCTTAGAGGATCTTATCTCACGTTCATCTCAATTTCAAACAGGGCGAAGACATATACTACCTGTTTCGTAACTATTAATAACTCCCTAACTTCTGTATATCAGAATATTATGCCTTTGGAATAATTTCATTCAATTTGATATTTTATAATCCAAACTCACACCTTTATTACTTCTCTACTGATTTCAGCTTTCATGATTACTGTTTCAATATTCCGATTGGTTAATTTATTCGACTAAGTTCTAGTTATTCCAATTTTACATACATTATCTGTTCTTCAAATATAATACTAAGTCGTAAATTTATTGTCAAATTTAATATGTTAATTAATATAATTCACTGTATTTTTCCTAAATTCTATTTCAAAAGATCTGCTAATTAACCACTATAGGGATGATACAATAATATTTAGTACTTTTATCTAAAAATAATAATTCATTCCTAAAAAATTAGAGAGAATTCAGTTTGGGAATTATCTTAAAACAAGAGGTTAGACTTATTTCATAAATTATTGATTTGATAAAGATGTTGGTTTTTTATACAGAGAATCCTATTTGGAGATTATAAATATAGATTAGCTTTTATTCATTGTTCAAGTGTTGTATTTCCATAATTTAAAGTACTTATCTTACTATCAATAATTTTATCTAAATTTCTTAATTTTTTATAGTAAATTTAGATTATAACAATTAATTCTAATTTCTGGGTTCAAACAATCCTACTACTTCCGCTTTCCATCAGTATTTTAAAATTTCTAAATCTTCTGCTCTACAAATATATGATTATATAAATAGTTCCCATTATCAAATTATCAATAGACAAATATCTTAGAGTATTACTAAGTCTTTCTATTCAATTGCTGAAAAATGTTACAAACATTAAGACATATCTATATCAACCACCTCTATTTGGTTATTTAAATATTATAAAATCCTTTTAAGTTCCTTTTTGTTAAATTCACACATTTTCAAAATTCTTGAGATTATTAAGAGGATATTGCTAAAATTTTAATTTAATATTTTCACAAGTAATATCCAGAATCCCCAATGCTTCACTTTTAAATTCTAAGAAAATCCAAAAGTCTGAATTTCTGCATTATTAAGAATTGATGACTTGAAACTTATTATTGATCAAACTTTTCAAAGAGTTTTTAACAATTATTTAAATTAAGATTACCAGAAACTTCAAAATAATACTAATCAAAATTATACCTATCTAACTTTAGAAAATTTTCATTTATTTTCAAGGTTTTTTATTAAACTACTAGGGATCTATCTTTGTATTGTTGTATCATCTAAAAATATGAATAAATAAAAGCTGTTAGACTATTATTTCTTTCTACACAGACTTGCATTTATTGTACATTACTAGATTCTATTTGGATTTATAAGAATTGTATGGCACTTTTTAATAAATACATTAATATGAGGAATATATTCAGGATTTACTTGATCTAAAAAATAATTCAATTTTATTTAATACAATGGACTCACATTTAAACATCTTATTAAATCATTTAGTTCAGCTCCCATAAAAAACAATCTTTATGCTTAATCAATTTCTAAAATAGTATTTATTGAAGCAAGAACACACCTAAACTATGCTAAATAACTTCTATTTTTTGAAATCTCCATTATTAGTAAAATTTAAGGTTTTCACATTTAAATTTTTCTTTTAAATATTTTTATCTTACTTTTGACAAAATTAAAAAGATTTAGGGTATTCCAATCGTATTTAATTTGATATTGAGCTCAAATTTAACATAAATAAGAAAAAATTAATCTAAAATTAAAGCTGGAATAAAATAGTCTTTAATAACAACTTCTAATATATCCTTTACTGCTAATATACTTTCTTCTATTTTTTGACCCCAAGACATTACCCAAATACCATTAAGTTGGTTAGATGATAAAGATAAAATATATACAAAGAACTAAGGAATTTTATTTAAAGCTTCTTAATTATCAGTTTAAACCGTTTCATACTAAAATACTGAAGTAGCTATACTACCTTAAAATTTTGAGGCTTAATTCTTGAACTTTAAGTATCCTTCAGCTCTAAAATTTCTCTATACTTCTTCAGAGAATTGCTTAACGGCTAAAAATAAACAAATCATAATGATATCCCAAATCTTTAAAAAATTAAATATTACAAATATCAGAAATATAAGACAATTATCTTAAAGGTGAAAATTGTTTAAAAACACGCTATTACAATACTACAAATAATGCAGATATAAAAATATCAGGTTCATTATTCAAATAAATTAGAGAAACAATTTATAAGGACCCATTCAGCACCGATCAAATAGTTTGAATAGTTGCATAATATTAATTCAATTTGCTCCAAACTTCATAATAATCATACAATTTTAATAAAAATTAAATATTTCCAATTGACTTTGCAAATAGTTCTCTTTTCGTTATATTATTTATTTCAATTCTTGCTTCAATATGTATTTATTCAGGTGTTTCTATATATCTAATAAAGATTGTCTATTATCATCAATTATTAATAATTAATTAACAATCAGACCACTAATTTCTTTATTGAGGTATAATAATCTTCTTAGATAGATTGGAATCAGTGCTTAATATTCTGCAGAAAGTAAAATGTAATCGTTTTTAATATATTAATTCTGTTGTACTGTTTACCATCCTGCATTTATTTTAGGATTTAAAAAAAATTAAATCCTATTTATTTACTCATCTAAACTAATCTGGATGAAATTCAACACTTAATATCAAAATTGATAATATAAGATGGCTAATAGATTACATTTTTCAATATTATTTTTGAGATCCTCTTGTTAATCAGAATTTCATCTTATAAACTTATAACAAATTTCAAGATTATCTTAGGAAAATATTCAAATAAAATAGTATTCTATAAATTTTACAATAGTTTATTTTTTATAATCCTAAAATAAATAAATTATGTCATTAAATGGATAATTAAAACAAAAGAATTAGCAAAAACTTTTACAAATTAAGTTAAAAAATTTTCAAATGTATTTTATTTTTTTATTTAGAAATGAAATTGATTAGATTGATCAATTACTAAAATTCATAATAAGACTCCTATTCTCTACTCTAAGCTTAAAATAAGTAGATCATCACAATCTAATAACATTAATTCACAAATATTCGATTATTTATAAATAAAAAAATAAATTTATATATTAAAAAGATCTTTAATTTATATTACTCTTAATTCAATTATGATTTTTATTCTAGAATATTTTTTATTAATTAAATAATTTGAATTAAAGGATATGATCTTTTATAAAATTATATACATTTTAATTTTTATATTGAATTAATTTTAATTCTTAATCCTATTTTATTATATGATTTCAAGTTCTGAAAAATGAAATTTTTAAAGCAAAAATATTTGAAAAATCATAAAACTATTATATTTGAGTATGTATCATATTAATATGGTTGCATCAAATAGTTTCATTTCTAACTTTTTCACTAAATCTGTTTTCTCTTTCTTATCAAATTTATTTTTGCATAATCTCATATCTATATAAATATATTTTCGTATATCTGAATTAATGTTGATTAAATTGTTATAAAGCACACCTTTATCAAATTCACAGTTTTTTAAGATCATTTTTAATTTTCTCAGATTATTAAATTGGAATGACTAAAAATTTATTTTGATTTTTTCAAAAGTGACATCTAGACTTTCCAAATTACTTTTTATATTATTTGTAAAATTAAATTCTTGGAATGTATTATTATTAATAAGAGTTAACTTAAAAAATCTCAATAAACAGAAATTTGCAAATAATGTGGAACAATTCTGTAAATCTAGATTACCTGCAATTTCAAAATTTAATCCCTCAAATCTATATTAATCTAATTTTAAAAATTTATTGTCAATTACTAATAGTTTAAATTAATAAATTTATTGATGATTACTATAATTATAGATTTTCTAGAAAAAAGAATAGGAAAAAGCTTTCAAATTACTCTATCTACGAAGCAGAAGTTCCATCTGTATTTATTCTGTTGCTTCTATTTGAATTTAAAGAACTTTCAAGTTTGGTGCATTCGTATTTTAAATAACTCACCACAAATCAGTTAAAAGGACTAACATAATAAGATATATAGTATTAGTATATTTATATACATAAAGAACTTAAAGGGTTAAATACATAAATTTTTAGATCAAAAAGACTTTGTATTTTTAAAACTACATTTGAGCAACTCATTAAAAAAAATAAAGTAAAATAAAAGATATTCAAAAAATATATAAGTGAAGAAAACCAAAAAGCAAACAGATTTATAAGGAAAGCTCAAATATTTAAAAAAATCTATGAACGAAATTATTTAGATAGAAGAGAATAATGACAATTTATTGTAATTCTAACATAATTTTGAAATATATGAAGAGATTCAAAGTAAAGGGAGAAATTGAGATAATTGTGATAATAATATAAATGTATCCAAATAAATATTCAAAATAAAATAAATTATTATTTTAATAAAATTTATTCTAATTTTTTGAACTATTGAAGATGGTTTGATATTTAAATTTAAGAAATTACCTGTTTAAATTTCTTGAAAGTTACATTTTATACTTGCATCTCAAAAATACAAGCGCCAAAAAATAGGAATTAGAAGAATCTAATTTGGATGCTTTACCTTTTGATTTAAGTATTCTTTTGTTTTCTATGAATTAGTGAAATATTTATGGTTTTCTAAATTCATTGAATTATCAAATAATTGAATGTTCGATTTCAAACATAAAGAACAAAATATTAAATATATTATAAATATCCAAGTAATTACTCGGATATTTAACAAAATTGATAGCTAGATATTAATAAACTAAAATTCATATGATGATGTTAATCATGAATAAATAAAAAAGAAAAATAAAAGATAAATATAAGTTTAAATTAGTAGTGAAAACTAAAAACAACCAGATTTTTGTGAAAGTTAATGGTATTTTTAAGAAGAATGAAATTTAAATATTTTTGGAGTGTATATTTCTTTTATTTTAATTATTAGATTAAATGCAATTTCAGGATTAATTTCAAATTTTTTAATTGAATGTTATATCTTAAATTAATAATACTCTTATTTATTATTATTGAGAAATCAATAATTAACAATAAGAAAAAAGCAAACAACCATTTTTTTTGTATATTAACATTGTCAATATTGTTATTAAAAAATTGAACAAGATTAAACTTCTAAAATTTTGTTTAATTTATTATTATTATAAATCACTCATTGTTTTAAATAAGTTAAAAATCTTATTTTAAAATATATTATTAAGATATTCTTAAATTATATAAATTTTCATAATTTAAATTGAAATTGTTGATAAATTTATTTAATTATTGTAATAACCAATCAAATCATCATTCTTTGTTATCTGATCTAAATCTACTTGGATTAAACATCCCAAGTTACAATAAAATGACCGTCTGCACTAATAGTCCCATAGATTCTTCCCTATAAAAATTTTTAAGTTTCAAATTCTATAGCCTATATTAATTGACAACCCCAATTTTAGGAGAAAAAGGAGAATTATATTATATTTATATTTTAGCCATTTTTTAATAGCATAATACCTTTTAAAGGAATATATACAGAAGGAAAGAAACAATCACAACATTAATCAACTCCTTTGACTTATAGACCTTCAGTATTTACAAATTCTCCAAAAGAGTTCAACTCATAGAAATGCAAATAAGCTTATGATGATGGCTGAAACGCAAATAATTTATTAGTAATAAAAGAGATACGAAATCCAATATTTAAAATTTTAATCTTTTATTTGACATCCCATTCTTTATTATTAGAGTTTTAAATTACTAATATTTATTTATCATTACCACAAGATATGAGTTGATTTCCACTATCATTTAGAGATAACCCATATACTTTATCCGAGTGTTCTTCCACTGTCTGTTTGCAAAACCATTATTGTTAGATTGAAGAGGTCCAAAATTTGATTTTATTATCAGAACCACCACTAATGAAAAGATTTTCTTCATGGTGAAGAACTAAACAAAGAATTATTGATTAATGACCAAATAATTTGATTAAGGGATTCCAAAATAATTTTAAATTGTTTTATTTAGTAGTAGGAGACCAAATTATGATAGTTGTATCACTTGAACCAGAAATGAAAGAATCTCTCATAGGAGTTGAACTAAAAAAATTAAGAGTAGTCACAAAATTATCATGATTGCCTTCTAATATTTAAATTACTTTTAGATTTAATGATGCATCTTTGTTTTCTTACTTTTCTTACTATTAAGACATTTAAATTATTTTTATACTAAATAATGGTGAATTATTTAAAGCCGCTAAAAGAATAGTATTATTATGATTTATAGCAAAAGCATTACATTCTTCTTATTGTTTGAAGGATTATTGTAAAAGTTTAAATTAAAATTATAGCATATTTTCTGTTACTTTTTTAGAAAACTCTAAAGAAGTTACATTTGGTATACTTTTTTTAGATTAGAAATAAGAAGATTTTTGAAAAACAAGTTAATCTGATAAACTTTAATTATCTTAAAAATTAATTTTAGATTTCAATTAACTTTCTTTATGCTACTTTGATATTTCTATAATAATCTTAAAACAATCGCGAAATTTATTAGTAAAATCCTTAAACTATACCAAAGTTGAATTAACTTTAGTAAGTTATTAAAGATTAACATTTTTATAATCGTTTATAATTTTTTCATCTATTTGATATTAAGTTTACTTTTAATTAATAATCAATTAATCTAGTTCATCAAATAAGCTATATCTAGTTATTTACTATTCAGAAACTTAAATAAAATTTATCCAATCTTCGGTAATTATTTCTAATTCATGGAAATTTTTAAATAATTAGGATTTAAGTTCAAAAATGTGTGACTATAATTTAAGAAGTAAGTCATAAAGAGGAACAAATAAATTCTAAAATTTTCTCAATTTTTTTTCAATAGAATCCTTTGACAATTCAACAGCCAAGGTAAGTGGAATAATTTAAATATCATTAAGTTTGGAACATTCTTCACAGTAAAGTCTTTTTTCATTTGATATATACTAGCCAAGCCTTATTGCACTTATAGGTTTGCTATGTTTTTAATGGCATTGTAATTCTAGGATATTTTCAATCATTTTCGGCATAAACATTTTTTATAATATATATGTATTTATGTATTGAGAAACAATTTAATTAATGGAAACTAGATTCTTGAGAAGTTTTATTTTTGATTAAATTGTTAGTGATGAAATTCATCTAAATTACAAAATTGCTCTTCTTAAACTAAGATTAAATTTAATGCTAATCTTAAAATAAAAAACTTTTGAATCCTATTCTTATACCTTTACATATAAAAAATTAAAATGTGATTATAAATATAGATAAAACTTTGATTGTTATATTAAAACAAAAATCGCAAAGAACAGACAAAATAAAAAAATATCCAAAAAGTAAAGATTATCTATTTCACTTTCTTTTTTTCATTTAAATAATATTTAAAATGGATATGAAATAAGAAAGCATATTAAATATTAAAATTTGAAGTTGAATTTTATTGGGATATTTTTCTGATGATTAGAATCAATTTTGGAGAAGGTTTTACATAGGAAAATTATTGATTTATGTTAACATCCGAAAATAGCTCAGTTGGTAGAGCGAGGGACTGTAGTGTTAATTCAGTTATCCCCAGGTCGGTGGTTCAAATCCGCCTTTTCGGATATTTTTTTCTAAGCAATATTTGTATATAACATTTTTATGTGCTAAAAATTAATATAATCTAAAGCGAAAAGAATATTTTAAGGAAAAATCACTAAAATTAAATCCGACTAAATTATATAATAAAACTTAATCTAATATTTAATAATTTAAAAAATCTCCTTGTCTTAATTAAATCTAGTACTTCCTTCAAATTTAATGAGAAAAACCATATCTACATTTAATGATCCTCTGAAATAAGCCAATTTTAATAGTTTTTTCCTATAAAAAACCCTATTATTTGATTGTAATTTTACAGCTAATATGATGTAATTTCTTTAATAGGTTTTAGCAGGAAAATTAATATTATAGTAAAAACTGTCTTAATTATATTTGCTTCAACTTTTTATTTTAATATTACTATATGAACAATATGGATACAATTTAATAGGTTAAATGAAAAATAACCATTTTATAGAGATTAGAATGTGCTTTAAGGGACATATTCTAGTTTTTAAACTTGACACTGATAGAAAAAAAAGGATATTGAACCTCTAAATAGAAAGCCCAATTAAGTTAATTCACAGGTTTATTATCTAAATATTTATAATAATTAACAATTTTGATAAGAAAATGCAGCAACACAATCCAATTTAAATACACGTTGAAGACACTAATGCAGAGGCAACAATGGCAAAAATGTAATAAAATCAAATATAATAGATCTGCAATCAAGCAAAAATACTTCAAAGATGAATTCTCTGAAGAATTTGTAAAGGGAACATCTAAAAAGGATGTTTTAATTCATAGAGGTTATTGGTGCAGATTCAACATTTTTCACAGAATAGTTTCAACTTATATAAGCAAATAATAAAAATGCAATATAATCTCGCTTGGATCTGGTTATGATACTCTTCCCTTTATAATGTGGCAAACATATCCAAACAATGAATTTACGTATGTTGAAGTAGATTTACCTGTTGTAGTTGATAGAAAAATAAAGAAGCTTAAGGAGTCTAATAAATTGAAAACATTATTGGGAGAAATTATAATTTCAGAAAATAAATTATAAGCAAAATCATAAAATAAGAACTATTTATTATTTGGAGAGGATCTATGCAACTCTGAGCAATTATATTAATAGTTAAAATCAATCGATGTCACGATTCCAACCTTGGTTTATGCAGAATGCGTTTTAACCTATATAAAGAGTGATGCCACAAATCGATTATTAGATGGATTAACTTAATGGTTCCCACAACTAACATTTTTAAATTACGAAATGTTTAATCCAAGTGATCAATTTGGTAAAATGATGGTGAGAAATTTCGAGGTATAAAATTCTTAGTAGAGTTTTAGTATAGAGGGTGCCCTTTGGTTGGTATTGAGGCATTTCCATCTCTGCAAGCACATAAAGACAGATTACAGTAATGGTTTAATCATGTAGAAATTTATGATATGAAAACCTTGTATCAAATTGGAACTGACCCTGAAGAAAGGAAAAGAATTGAAAAATTAGAATTAATGGATGAATGGGAAGAATGGAATATTATGTAGAGTCACTATCTAGTATCCCTTGCTATTAAAAGTCAAAATCAATTAATTGTAAATTTAAAGGTTTGAAATCAAATTGAAATTAGTCATTAATAATCATATTTTATATTTGAAATCTATTATGTGTTATTTATAGCAAAATATTTTTAAGCTATTACAGGAATAATAATTGTTTATATTTATAATTTACAATTTTTTTCTCTAAATAATATAATCAAGTAAAGAAGAATGAAATCAAGTAAAGAAGAATGAAAATAAGCATAAATTGTTGCTCATTTATGTTACTTACTCACAATGTACAAATATCCTGTAAAAAATTTAATTATTTTTCTAAATTTTAAACCCAAGACTTGGATATTAGAATATTGAATGCCAGTAAAATTCTTTCTAACTTAAAAAGATATTATAGTTTTATGATTATGAGTAAATTTATTTTGAAATTATATTAAAATACAGAAATATTGTTATTCAGTTATTTATAATACTATTATTTTTAAATTGTTTAATATCTTTCAATAATCTATTTGTGCAATAATCTATCAGCTTTAAATCTTGGAGTCAGGGTTTTATCCATGTGATATATAATATTGTTTTCAATCAATATTTTTCAATTAAGGATTATTATATAAATT